CATAAAATACTGTCCCAAATCCTTAGGCTATCCTATTTAATCTTGGTATGGACAGTATACTTGTTATGCAATACATCTTTTTCCCTTACAAAATAAAAACTATATGTTTAGTATAAAAATTCAGTATTTGTTGAATCTCACAATTACAATAAACTTTTTATTTTCCAGGCTTCTCCATCTTATAATTTCATGGCTGACTGGCCATAAATTGCTAAATGCACTTATTTCTGTTATTTATTATACTGTCCCTATAACATAGCTCATTAACTTTGAATAATATGCCATTATTTCTATGTTGTATTTGGTTGTGGTTTAAATAGATTGCTTCCACCTAACTCTATTTGTGAGTTATGCTCAGTGCCTACAGGTATTAAAATATACTGAAGATTTTCCTATGGTTAAATACATATGAGTCAATGTCTTCTTTTTAAAAAAATAAGCTAAATAATTCTAAAGACTATTGCTTAACTTTCGTTCATATCTCAACTTTGGCTCAACAGGAATAACACCCAATGATCCTAACTACTACAGCAAGGCCACTAATTGTAAATCACTCCTTGATCGTTGCCCAAGAATTAATACAGGGGAGAAACCCTATAAATGTCAAGAATGTGGTAAGCCCCTTAGTTCTCAATTAACACTTGCTATACACCAGAGACTTCACACTGGAGACAAACCCTACAAGTGTGAAGAGTGTCATAAGGCCTTTTATACACCAGAAAAACCATACCAATGAAAAAAACTTCATTTGTACAGACTGTGGCAGGTCATTTTACTATCCTTCAATGCTGAAGCAACATCAGAGAATTCACTCCAGAGAGAAACAATACAAGTGTGAAGACTGTGGAAATGCTTTTTATGATCCTTCATTTCTTACGCAGCATCAAAGAATTCATTGTGTGAAGAAACGCTATAAGTGTGAAGAATGTGGCAAAGGCTTTCATTATCACTCAGCCCTTAGAACACACAGGATGGTTCACACTGGAGAGAAACGTTACAAATGTGAAGAGTGTGGCAAATGTTTTTCTGTATCTGCCTCCCTTAGTCAACATAAAGCAATCCATTCTGAAGACAACCCGCACAAGTGTAAAGTGTGTGGCAGGTGTTTTACCTCATCTTCATCCCTTGCACAACATCAAACCATCCACTCCAAAAATAATCCCAATAGCTATGAAGAATGTGGCAGGTTTTCTCCAAATTATTTGAAACTTAGACAACATCAAGTGATCCATTCTGAATAAAATCCCCACAAGTGTGAAAAATGTGGCAAAAAGTTTTCCCGTTCTGCAAGTCTTAGGAAACATCAAAGAGTTTATTCTGGAAAGAAACCATACAGGTGTGAAGAATGTCACTAAGCCTTTAAATGTTATTTTTCCTTTTCAAGACACAAGAACATTCATATAATAGAGAAATCCTACCAGTGTTAAGATATAGTATGATGGTTTGTATATGCTTGGCCCAGGGATTGGCACTGGTAGGAGGTGTGGCCCTGTTGGAGTGGGTGTGTCAGTGTGGGTGTGGGCTTTAATAACCTTGTGCTAGCTGCCTTGAATTCTTCTAGCAGCCTTCAGATGAAGATGTAGAACTCTCAGCTCTTGCACCATTCCTGGTTGGATGTTGCCATGCTCCTGCCTTGATGATAATGGACTAAATCTTTTCATCTGTAAGCAAGCCCCAATAAAATGTTGTCCTTATAAGAGTTGCTTTGGCCATGGTGTCTGTTCACAGCAGTAAAACCGTTAACTAAGAAATGTGGGAAGTGTGGTAAAGCCCGGTTAATCTTGATAGCCTTATTCAACACATGATAGTTCATACTGGAGTGAAGTCCTGTGAATTTTTGAAATGTTTATACTTCTTCAGCTCTTAAAACACAGCTGTGCTGCCCAGTCATGTGTCAGCTTGACACACAAACTAGAGCTGTCTGACAGGAGGGAACTTCACTGAGTAAATTTCTCCATAAATTCTAGCTTTAACTATTTTCTTAATTAGTGATAGATGGGTGGGTCCAGCCCATTGTGGGTGGGGCCATTCCTGTGCGGGTAGTCCTGAATTGTATAAGAAAGCAGGTTGAACAATCCAAAGTGAGCAAGCATCTCTCCATGGCCTCTGCGTCCTGCCTTCTGTTTCCTGCCCTATGTGGAGTTCCTGGCCTGACTTCCTTCAATAATGGACTACAATATGGTGGTGTAACCCTTTCCTCCTGAACTTGCTTAGGTAGTCATGTTTCTTAGAAGCAATAAGAGCCCTCATTGACTAAGGCACCATTCATTCTGACTACAAACTCCATGAGTGTGTGTAATATGGTAAAATGTTTGCTAATAATTCAGATTTTATCCAATTCAAAAGAATCCACAGTGAAAACTATTAAGTGAATTATCTGGGGATGTCAACACAAACATCTTACTTCCACTAGATGCTAAGAATGTCATCAGAGAACATAGGAGACCTCTTTTTGCTGTAACCTCCCCGCCAGTGTGTTCAACCTATGTGCTTGAATACTGCACGGATTGCTGAGTCTCTTTGCTCTGTAACAATGTATGTTTCATGAAACTGTTGCCGTGTTGTAACTTGGTCCTTTGGGTGCCTGCAATCTGAACCGTGGGCTGTGGTATAGTTTCTGTTGTTTTCCCCAGTGGGGTCACCCGTGCTCTTGAACTAACTTATTCCCTGGGTGTGTGAGAAGCTCCATTCCTCACCAGTTGGACTTGAGATGATCTACACTGATTCTAATCTAAGCTGAAGGAGCGTTAGTGTTTGTCTCCCCAGCGTAAAGCTAACAGAACACGTTGTCAGTCATGCTTGCTTTCAGAGGGAAGAATCTCTTCTTCCCTTTAAATTCTAAACAGTGTTGTTCATATGACTCCAGCTGTCATGTCACAGGACTTGGCAGCATATTGAAATAATAACCATGCCATACGCACTCACTCTACAGGAAGGATGTATTTGATTAGTGTGTTGTGATGTCAGTCATGAAACACTGTAGATGCAGTTCTTACTTTACTACTGGTATAGATCCTAAAAAGTGATCTCACACTCGAGTTTATTAATTTATGTAAACAGTTATATCAGGGCAATTAAAAACTAAAAGTTAGCAGTCATTAACTTATAAATGATGAAATATCTCTAATGTGCCCAAATTTTATTTTTAGTCATGCTAAGTACAAATGAAATTTATTAACACAAGAT